ATATATGAGTATATCACATTAACTATATTTTATTTATTATTTTTATGTGCTCTATATTTTTTATTATATATATATATATATAATATGTTTCAATATTATATATAATATTACAACAATATTACTTCTATTTCTTTAATAGTAATAATTCTATTAAGTTTTGGAATACCTCTAAGTTTGAACTAATTGGTCAAAAAATTTTATCCTTCTTTTTTTAATTACATTTTTAATATATAATAATATTATATATAATAAAAAACTATATGGAAAGCTCTTAAAAAAGTGATTTATCCTGACGACACAAAACTGTGTGCAAAGATCAATAATGAGAAGGGTGCAGAAGTACTAAAACAAGATGCGGCAAGATTATACAGGTCTGATGGGCAGTTTTGCACATGGGTAAAAAAACAAAGGCTTTTATTATCAATTGGGCAATAAGGAGCTACGATCAACGCAACAAGAAGAGGACCTTGGAGTCATCATCCATAAAAGCAAAAAAAAAATCGAGGCAATGTACAGTGGCTACGGCTAAAAGAAATCAAATACTTGGATTTGTTAAAAGAACAATGGTCAGCAGGGAGAAGTCGATCAGTCTAAATCTGATCTGCAAAAAGACAAGGACATTATGGAGAAAGTACAGCGGAAAGCAACAAAGAGGATCAAAGGACTTAAAAATCTTGAATAAAAAGATAGATTGAAAGAATGTGGATTAACAACACTGGAAACAAAAAGATGTAGAAAAGATCTGATACAGGCAGCACAATAAATTGATTACCAAGAAAGAAGAAACTCCGTTTACCGGATTTTTCAACTGGAGAATAGAATAGGATTACGAGGCCAGAGATACAAGCTCTCCAAAAAATAAAAAGTGCCGTCCGGCGAAAATTATTCAGCAGTAGAGTGGTAAACACCTGGAATGATCTGAGGGATGAAACAGTCTTCGCGGAATCAATCAACAGTTTTAAGATCAAGCTCGGAAAGTTAGGATGTTTGGACACTTATCTTGCAGTGGTTCTCACACAGACTATAATCTACTGAACCACTTTAAACTCTGTTGTTATGTTATATTAAATGATCTTAAAAACTTTAACAAAGAATGAGTATACGTTATATACATTTATATATATATATATATATTGGTACGACCAACAAATATTTAGAGCCCCAAGCGGATAATAAACTCTCAAAACTTTGCGGATTTTGCGGTTTGCGGATTTTGTCTTTGCGGTTTGAATATACAGCGCAAGCTGTGTGGTTGTCGGCGACGTTCCCGTTTAATTCGTTGCTGGTTCGCGGAACAATAAGTTTGAAAAGCTACAATACACTGTTTCAATAAATCAATATTTTCTTTTGAATGTATATGCGTTTCGATTTCAAGACAAATTATTAATTATGTCATCGCAACTTTCTAACGAAGTGATATGAGGATGACGATGTTGTTGGTTGTTAACTGCTGAATTGATGATGACGACTATGATGTTAATTGTAATTGTATTTATTATTGTTTTCCTCTACCCGCTGTGTACACTTATGGTTATAATTATTAATGTGCATATTTTGCCTGAGACATAATTAAATTATTGATGTTTTCTATTGAACCTTTTTGATTAGCGTCTGTTTTGAATTAAAAAGAATTAGGTGTACAATTGTATGTTTGTATGCGGCTCCATGGTTCCTTTATTATCTAAGACAATAATAACACGACATGGTGTGTTGTTTGAATGCGCTTTAATAATAATTCGGCCTTTTGATTTTGATCTAAACATTCTAACAAAATGTTTATATTTGTTGCATTTGTAACACTGTTTGTTGCTTGCAGGCATTGTCATCGTTCCTTATGTTCAGTGCCACAGTTTTTACATTTATTAGGAAATGATTGGTATTTCGATGGTTTACAAATCTGACTTTGCGTTCATTATTGTTATTTCTTTTGTAAAAATTCTTAGAAATTTTAGAAATACTGCCACCTTGATAATGCATTTTGTTGACTGCTGTCAAATGGTTTTTGATATTTAAGATCATAGATAGATGGCGTTATAAACACCATCGGTTGTCGGGCTGCTTGCATTGTTGAATATATTGCCAGTTGATGTGTATTTTGTATCTGGTGATAAGTATTGTACGTGTTGCACGATCAGCTGAATCTATTCGTGTGCATTGCGTTCAAGTGGTGGTGACGATGAACTTGTGGTGGTATAACGCGTGGTTGTTGTAATATCGATGTTGTGGTTGAAGAGGTTGCGATTATGAAGCTGGGTGAATCGGTAATCGTAATTCTGGTACTAACGAAATTAGAGATAATACTTGGTCGACTTAGTTTTACGAATTCAAAAAGGATGAATTTTGCGATGGTGACGTCCATAGTGATGATGGGCACGATGATAGTTGTTGAACATTAATTCCTAATTGAGTTTTTACATTTAAAGGTGGATACAATGAGGATGACGCTTGTGCTTGTGATGTACTAGGTTGTTAAACTTCTACTGATTGTTTTGGTACACTTTGAGGTGAGAGTATTGATACCGATTGTGTAGTAAAGAAAAATCGATAGTTTTTGTAAAAAGATTGTTTTTAGACTTTTTGACTGACTAGCTTTTTGCTTTTGGTGTCGTATGGATGTTTGTTTGACATGGTACGCAGTAATAGTTAGCCGGTGATTGATGTATAACTAGCCTTGTTGCTTGGTTACCGTATGCTTAGGAGAGGCAGTACTAACTCGAAAAGTTACACGAAAAGGTGGAAATCAAAAATGTTCTCTTATTATATTGTTCATGATTCTTCACCATATTATTATATTGTTCTGTTTTCTCCACTATCATTATGACGTTATAACGTTATGTTGTTATAACGTTTATCAATTTGTTTGTTGGGAAAACTAATTTTGCTCGCTTTGCTTATTACTGCTTTTTATCTTCTATAATCGTTATGCAGATGATGCGAATTGGAGTTAGTTGGTCGTTACGTCAATACACTTTATATTAGCAATTTACGGGTTTTGAGTTATTATTAAAAAAATAAATATAATGGAAGTTGCATAAGAAACGACTCACTCATTTTTGTTATTTTTTTAACTAACAAATATTATTTAATTTTATAAACTTTAAACAAAAAATATAAAAATGATGTAAAGTTTGACGTGATGTAGTCTGTATTGAGTTGTGTTTGTATGTGTAATGTATCTATGTGTTACGTGTCATGCGCCTGAATATCTCAATGCGCAATGCCTCTCTCCATTCCTAGTTTTAATTGGTTGGTAATCGCAGGTGCTCCTAATTTGTCGTTTATTTCAAAATTTCCTTTTCTATTCTATTACTAACATAGCAGTATATGGCCAGAACTAATTTGTGTTTGATCAATCAATCAATCTTCGTTTTGCGTCCAGAGACCCGGTTCCCCGAGGTGAGACGTTGTTTTCTTTGCCATCAACTTTTTGCGCCAAATTAGACGATCAGTTGTATCCATTTCATTTAAATTTAGAGCTTTCATGTCTTGCTCGATTGTTTGCGACCTAGACTTCTTTGGACTGCCTATGGGACGTGTACCAGGTACTTCAACATCTGCAAGAGAAGTTATGACACTGTTTCCACTTCGTTTGACATGACCAAACCACCGCAGACGGTGTTGCCGGCATTCGTCCTTTATATCATCTAAACCAGCACGACGCAGGATTTTGGTAGATTTGATGTGGTCCTTCAGACTAATTTGTTGCATCCATCGGAGCATTTTCATGTCGGTTATTTGAAGTTGTTGTTCCAGTTTGGTTGTCATTGGCCATGTCTCTGCACCATATAACAACACCGGACGTATCACAGATTTATAAAGTCTTGATCGTAGTGGTAGTGGGATGTCAAGCCGCATCAATATAGAGGCAAAGAGACAACTCATTCCAGAATATCTTGTTCGACTTGTGATGGAAATGTATACGAATACTAAAACTCTCGTCAGCACAACGGTTGGAAACACAGATGCATTTGACATCGGCGTTGGAGTTCACCAAGGCTCGATTCTCAGTCCACTATTAATTATAACTGTGATGGAAGAAATCACAAAACCGATACGCATTGGTGACATTTGGAATCTAATATATGCTGATGATATCGTTATAACAGCCACGTCTGAGCAGAATGCAGCCCAGATGTTTGAAGATTGGAACACCAGACTCACCGATCATGGATTCAAAGTCAACATCAGCAAAACCAAAGCAATGAACACTGGTAATTGGTGAACCCATCCAATCCACATCTACTGGACGATATAAAGCTGGTGTAGGTACAGTTCAATCAAGTGTCAGCAGTGTAACCAGTGGTGTCACAAACTTTGTTCAAAAATAATTGATTTGTGTTTGATGTTTTTAAATATTTGTTTTGTTTTTATCAGGCTGGTATAAATTGACAGTAATAATGATAACTTGAATTAATAATTTTTTTTTCTTTTTCATTATTTGACACTTTTTTAATAGATTATTAAATTGTGTATTACACTATATTTAAATTTAAAGGTTTATGGAAATTAAATTGGATCTTTCATATCATTTTGACGGCATGATCGTGTATATTAATTGTTAATTAATATTTAATTGAATCATTATATATCGGTGTGATGGCTTAGCGGTTAAAAGCACCTGGTCCCAGCCTATTACGCTTTATGTGTGATGCGTCGTTTAGCACATATTCATACGCATGTATTCATACACTAAACTTTGGATGATTGTATAACACCTTAATCCTTTTTTGTCATTGTTCAACAAAAATTTATATTTTTTAAAGAAACACTTTAGTGGCTTTAGGTTTTCATAACATTTCATTTTGTTCTATAAATAATTAGCAGTTTCCATTTTAAATTACAGTAACCTACACTACCTCCTTTTTAAATTAGGGTTAATTAATTTATTTCATAATTTTAAACAGTTCATTTTTTATTTTAAAACCACGTCTATAATTAAATGGCTGCATAGTTTTAAATTACAAATTAAATACTAATAACACTTTTCTTTTCCAGATATTAGAATCAAGGGAACTGTTAAATGGTTTAATGTAAAAAATGGCTATGGTTTTATTACGAGGTTCAATTTTCATTACATAAAAACGAATATTTTTTTATTTAACATATAATTTGTTATAAATAATGTTTGAAAATATTTGAGATTATATTCGATATGCTAAGTTGTTTAAAATCTTTATATCTGCTGCTATAGTCAAAATACTGTTTTGCGAATTGCGCTGGGACAGGTAATTTCAATTAAATGTTATCTTGATTTTATAATTCTATGCTTCTGTTACTCGTTATTTGCTAGATTCAGATATGTTTGTAGCGCGCGATTGTAAATTTACTGTATGTAAGCACAGCACGATTCAATTGTAAAGTTGAGGTTGGAGTTGTGGGTTAAGGAGTAGAATTGGTGGTTGGACAATGGAGTTGAGCTGTGAATTATTGGCGATTATTTTCCGGATTCGCGAATAATTCAGTGGTTCTATCGCTGTTGGCACTGAAATAAGCATTTAAACAAGTCTGTATTTATTTACATATATTAGTTCTTATATAGGCAATTAAATGTAGAACATCATTGTTAAAAAGTAAATGGCACGGTGGAGAAAATTAAAAACAACGATTCTTCTAATTCGATTTTTGATCAAAACATTGTACTCGTGTGGTTCTGTTAGTGGATATGGTTGAAATTTTAAACGATAGTTATTTTTTAAAAGTAATTGTTTTAAAAAAGTATTAAGCCAAAAATGTTAAATAATATGAGTTTATTGAATTTCTGATACGTCACTCACTAATAGTGGTGGATCTAGAAATTTCTGTTGGGAGTGATAATTAACATTATTCGTAGAAAATCCAAAATTTGATGGAGCCGAGTTATTTATATTTAGCAGCAAGCAACATAGATATACCATAATACAAATACATATCATGTAATTTCTTGTTAAAAATCAATAACCAAAAATTATTTTTTTAAAGAACCGAATTCTTAAATATACAAAAAATGACAAAAATCAGATCATAAATATAAACAGATATACAATTAAAAATAAGCCTCCAAATGTTTTTGTTATCCTTTAAAACAAATATTCATTAATTTACATCAAATTAATTTTACGGTGTTTCAACATAGCAAAGTTGTCAATTTATCAATAATAGTTTAAGGTACGATGTTGAAGTTTCTATTAATGTACATTAGTGCTAAACCATTTACATAAACGACATTTGAGTATTTTCATTGCGTTGAATGATCGCTCAGCGGAGCAAGTTGTTTGTTATAGGCAGCGTTATGGCGATTTGAAAAAGTTGCTTCACATGAACGAACGTTTTGGGTATATTCTTTAGAACATCGAGAAGATCTTCTTCTGATTGATTCAAGTCATTGTAACGCAAAAATTGTCTAATTTTATGTACAATTCTAATTCACCGTAATTTAGCATTGCACCGGAGGTATCGAATATTTATTTAAAGACGGCGTTTTCAATAGAGGAGCCCATTAATGTTCCCGCTAAAGAAAAAGCAGGATTTGGTTGTTGAGTAAACTTGGCGCAAATTTTTACGCTGATTGCATTGATATATGGATACCAAATTATTCTTTTAAAATATTCATTAGCATTCATTTCCTCTAGATGCCCTGTGTTGCTGTCTTGATGTGCTTTAGGCTCAACTAATTCAATTCTCGCAGCTTTAGCAAATACACTGTAATGTATAGTACAGACTTGTCATCATCCCATACAGTCATCAGGACGCCACAGTTGAAGTTGATATTTAATGTTTTTAACAAGTTTCATTCTCTCAAAGTAATTTTTAACTAAGGTTTACAGTTGTCTTGAAAGTACAGCGTTAAGAGCCATTACTTTTCTTGCTGCGAAACACAAAAAGTTTAGCTAGCGAAACCCAAAAACTTAGCTATTGAATTCGTTAGTATTAATGCGACGGACTTAGTTTTTGAATCAAACGAGACACTTTCTGTTGTTTGCTGCAAACCATCATTAATACAATAAAAATTATCACAAAATCTTATCAGCACATCGTGACGCTGTACAAATCTCGTGTCACAATAAGTCAAAAATGTTTAATCAAATTGACGTCGACACTTTTGGTGATTCATTAATAAAATTAATCATTTCAAAAACTTTACAAAACATATTTTTACAACCGTGATGTCGAGATGGAAACTAATAGTTAGGAATTGTTAAACTTGTAAATTAATTACAGGAATGAGATTTGATGCGAATTCGTAAATGTGATTTATGTAGCTATTTGGATAAATTTATTGTATTTTACTGCTGGTATTCAAATAAACGTTTAACTTAATTTGCGTTTGAAGTAGTTGTGTTCATTTATCGGAATCTGGAACCTACGGATAAACAAACTCTTGACTATCGTTGGAAGCTACAACACGGTGTTGGAGATAAAGAGATTATTGAAGCTATAACATCGGTGTTGGTAGTTACGAGGTCGAGAAGGAGTTACAACACTTGTGTCAGAAGTGGGATCTTCAAGGTTACAACACTGGTGTCAGAAGTAAGATTTTTGATAGCTTGAAACTCACTGCAATGAAGAATGCCAGTGCTAGAGGAACCCAATATAATTAGTCTGAAGAAAGAAGCTACAGAGACTGATCGAGTCACCCGTTTAATTAGCACATAATGGACAACAGACGGAAACGAAAAGGATCAAATTTTAGGGAAACGGACAACAGGAGTTTGTTTGTGTTTGACATTCAACGATTTATACAGATGTTCGCGGATATGAAGGCTGATACCGACCGTCGAGCTGAAAAGCAATTTGTGGCAATAATGGCTTATACCGACCGTCTAGCAGAAAAGCAGTTCGCGGAATTGAAGGCTTATGAAGACCGCCTAGCAGAAAAGCAATCCGCTGATGTTGACCGTTGAGCGGAAAAACAATTCGTGGAAAGAAAAAAGCAATCCACTGAAATAAAGGCTGAAATGAAACAACAAAACGCTAAAACGACGGCTAAAAACGATGAACAATTCGCTGAAATGACGGCAAAAATCGATCCACAGATAGCCGAATCAAGAGAAAGGAGAGCCGAATTACGAGCGGCCAATGGAATAATACAACCAACCTTCGAAAGAATATCATCTAGCGAAGAGACGGTTGAAACAGCTATACCAGAAACGGCTACACAAGAGCTGGCAATTATTCTACTAGCGTATTTACCAACGGATGATGTCGACAACTACGACGCACGTGACTACTACGACGCACGTGTTAACTGTGATGCACGTTATATCTGCAATGCACCTGACAACTGTGATGCACGTGACAACTATGATAGGTGAGCAAAGATAGACTGGACAAACTTGAAAAAGATCTTAATGAAGTAACAACAGACAGAAATACTCTCAAGAGTAAAGGTCAAAGTCATCAAAGAAACTTAAAGAAATTGAAAGACCGAAACAGGAGCATACAAATGAGATGAAAGAGCGGGAAGATGAGAATGACATAAGAGTGAAGCAGATCCAAGTAAAGACGGAAGAGAAGGAGAAACAGTCCAAAAATAGCTATACCGTATCGTTAGAAAAGTTTGAAGATGAAAGTCGAGATAGACTGAATGAACTACAAGATGAAATTGAAGAAGTGAAGAACGACTTGAAATTGAAGATCTGACGAACGACTTGAAATTAAAGATCTGACGAACGACTTGAAATTGAAAGAGGAATACATTGATGAACAGAGCACACAAATTGATGACCTTAAACTAATAATGGAGAATTCATCAATTCAAGTGGAGAATTCATCGCCCGGATCAATGACGTGGTGTATCTGGTCCGAGAACGAGGTAAGCCTCGGATCAAAATAAAGATCGTTCTCAGAATCAGAAGATCAGCGCAACGAAGGGAATTGACCAAATCAAGGACGATTTTTGGTCTCAGTGGCGGGCAATGTCACAGCCGTGAGGTTGAGGTGGAGACTAATAGTTAGGAATTGTTAAACTTGTAAATTAATTAGAGGGTTGTAAATTCAGTTATGGACTTGACACTTTTATGAGACACATTTACAAGCACATCGGTAGCTATATTAACAACGAAGAAGCAGAGAAGGACTACAACAGGAAAGAAAAGGACGGAACAAAGTTGAGTGATAACAGTTGACTTAGAAGTGAGATTAGATGTGAAGTCGTAAATGTGATTTATGTAGCTATTTGAATTATTATATTGTTTCTATTACTGCTGGTATTCAAATAAACGTTCAACTTAGTTTGCGTTTGAATTGGTTGTGTTCATCCACGGTGTTGGAGATATAGAGGTTATTGAAGCGATAACATCGGGGTTGGAGTTACGAAGTCGAGGAGGTTACAACAATATTTTAAATAGAAGAAATCGTCGACGCTCGGTTTCCTAATGGTAAACCGATTTTCGTGAAAAAATAATCGTTTTAACTATTGGTATCAACCGTTTCCTGTTTTCATCAGCTTGTTCTTTTTGTTTTATATTTAGTTAGTAAATTATTCATTTATTTGCCTTTGAATTTTTAGCAACTTAACAAACTCGTTACCATTTTTCTTGGCGTTTTTGTGATATTCATTTGATCATGAATTTTTTCATATTTTGAAAAAGGTTTCAACGCAAAAAAATTTAATACTGTTGTTTTTCAATCAATCATCGTTTAGCGTCCAGAGAACCAGTTCTCCTGAGGTAGGACGTGTTTTCTTTGCCATCAATTTTTTGCGCCAAATTAGGCGATCAGTTGTATCCATTTAATTTAAATTTAGAGCTTTCATGTCTTGCTCGATTGTTTGTGACCAGGACTTCTTTCGACGGCCTTTAGGACGTGCACCAGGTACTTCAACATCTGCAAGAGAAGTTATAGCACTGTTTCCACTTCGATTGACATGCCCAAACCACCGCAGACGGTGTTGCCGGCGTTCGTCCTTTATATCATCTAAACCAGCACGACGCAGGATTTCCGTAGACTGGATTTGATTCTTCAGACTAATTTGTTGCATCCATCGGAGCATTTTCATATCAGTTCGTTGAAGTTGTTTTTCCAGTTTGGTTGTCATTGGCCATGTTTCTGCACCCTATAACAACACCGGACGTATCACAG